GCTCACACTCCATTTGTCTATGTCTGATTCAATACTCCCCCCCCATTAGGGGGCCGTGCCTCGTCCATGCATCTGCGTCTCCCCTTCTCTAACCCGCACTCACACTCCGGAGTTTCTTTGTCTCCATCTCTTTGCCCTTCACTTGACATCCATAAATCAATCAGTCCAATTCCATCCAGAACAAAGCCTGATGGATTTGCTTCGGAGCCACCGTCCTGATAAAGTAACGGTATCCAGAGTGTAATTACCCTTTGAATTAGATGATGTGGCTATGTGACCATGGATTTGATTTAGCTTCATTTTCTGCTGTCTTTCACATTCACACAACCAGACAAATAACATAGAATCTTCTTTTAACGGTGTTCAGATACCTGAAACTAACAGAAACAGTCGTTTTGTTTTGCTTTTTAACACCGATTCCACTTGGTTATTCTTCATTTATTGACTGGAACAGTAAAATACCTGTTTTCAAGTCAGCTGTGGTTTGAAGGGAGTTGTTTGAAGGATAAAATACAAAACCTACATGTTTTCCTTGATAAGGACCAACTCAAGCAATTGGACATCAGGAAACTAGAACCCATCCCACCAGTTCAGCCATCACTGGGGCAAAATGGAAACAAAGAAACCGCCCACACACAAAGTCTGTTTATAATCTGCAATTATATAAATTAGACTGCAAAGGGAATGGGAAAAACTGCAGAAAAACTGCAGAAGTTCACACACTTAAAGATACAGCTCTTTAAAGTGCTTAAAGTTTATTCTTGTGCAATACTGATTAACAAAAATAAGCAATAATTTGCTCTTAATTTGAACAGGTAAATATGATCTGCAAATTCAATTGGTATTTTTTCCATTCAAATATGAAAGTTTGATTTTATGCACATGAAATAAGATAAATGAGTTGTTGACAAACCGTCTTACCTAAAGGTAAAGTGGAAGATGTTCTTTGGCCAGGTGGATCATCAAAATAAGTGGTACTACAAATTGTCAATCATTCCAGTGATATGTTTACATAAGGCCATCCTTTTTTTACCCTCACCCACAAAATTGAGAGTTTTGGAGACTTGTATGGAGACCGTTTTAGTCGATGTGCTCCAGTCAGTGTCCGATGAATATATTCTCTGCTCAGTGGAAAGTATTTTCCCGCTCTTGCTATCAAAGAATGTGTTTTAAAATTCCCTTTTTCCGTTCATATTTCGGTCCGTTTTCTCATCAGTGTGTGGACGGGCAGGTAATTATTGGCATAACACAGTGGTGCGTCTGACATAGTGGAAAAACTGCAAATCTTCTCTGGGAAAGTAAGCTTGTATGAGAGATACAATCACAAACTTTTAAACAAAAGCGTGCACGAGGAGAAATGGGCTCGTGCACGCTTTTGCACACGTTTAACAGCCGTTCCCTTTCGGCAGTGGGTACAGGGTTCTACATGTGCGTTTTATTTTCTAAAGTAGAGAGGGCGGCTTTTTTAAAAGATTCAGGAAAATCCTCCACTATACCTTCAACTGTTTAAATCAAAAAATCAAAAAAATGTACTTATATTTCAATTTTTGTAGTATAATTATTTCTCTCAGATCTATTTTATTGCAACCACCTGATGCAAAATCGAATAATGTAAAATCAGACCTGGTTTAGAATTGTTTTTTTTTATGTTTCTAGTTTCCTTTATTCTGTTACCCCTCCGAATTAAATTCCAATGCTACCAACCTTAGACATAATGTCAGAATAAATCCAGCAGCTATGAAGGCTTATTAGGAACCCTAATGGTTAGTCATGAGACAGAGTTGGGTTATAAAAAAAATACCTAAAGCTTTGGACATTGAGTATTTGTTCAGGCCATCATCTGAAAAATAATGATACTATTGAAGAAAATGTAGCTGAGAGGTTGCTGTTAACAGAGATCCACCACTGATGTTTGTCTTGAACTTTAAAAGATGTTTGGAAGTTTTGAAAGAGAGAAAGTCAGCTAAACGCTTTCTGCAACAAACCACACAGATAATATGTGCAAAAAAGGTACGAACAAAACTAAAGTTTTTGGTCTACACCAGAACTGGTTAAAAATGGATAAAACGAAAATGAAAAACATTATAAGAGAATCTTGCAAGAAATCTCTTTGGATGCTACAAAACACTTTTGACTAGGCCAAGGTTCATTTTCCAGCAGGACAATGAACCTAACAACTATCTGATGACTGTAATGAATAGAGTCCAGGTTTGTGGACACCCGCCAGCCTACATCTGAATGAACCTTGCTTTGTGCCATGTTGAGCTGTCATTTTCAAATAAGAGGCAATGCATTATCAAATTGTTTCCTACACAGCTGGGTGCATGAAAAATTTCCAAAGGTACTTTTATGTTGAGGCATGATGGGTTTCTTTTATGCTTAACACAACGCAGTCAGGAAGGTTATGTTCTCCTAGAAATTAGCAAACCCAGACTAATCCACTCGCCTTTCAACCAGAGAGGCAGGATTCATATCTCCAGAGATGCTTTGCTCTGTTACTCTGGATGCATTGCATTTAGTGATGTCCCAAAGGCTTGGTTGTGGCTACTTCTCTAAAAGCAAAGCTCTTGAGCAAATCTGAAAGCTGTATGGAGCTTGAAGGTCTGCAGTTACAGACATGAACTTCTAATATTGTGCAGGAAGTTGACCTCTTTGAACTCGACACATCAGCTTATATTGACCTCATGCTGAGATTTTACATAGTTCCCAGTCGCTCCTGCTTTTGTTGGAAAGCAGAATCATGTTTAAGCAGACCGGTTCCACGTTGAGTTTCATGAGCTCCTTAGATTAACCCATTTTTTCACAAATGTTTCTAGATGCAGTCTGAACATCCTGGTGCAGGATTTGATAAACCTGTGGCCATGGGAGTCATTGAAGCACCAGAGTTGAATGATTTGGAGGAGCGAGTGGATACTTCTTGAAAAGGATTTTATTGTTTGCAGATTTTATTTTCTGTCTGCTGGCAGTCAATCATTTCAGACTGAACACGAGGGTACTTGTAGGCGAGAACAAGAGCTACATCCAATCTTTGTTAAAAGGCCATGTGAGCACAATTAACAAAGGAAAACAGGGTTGGATGCTGAAAGGATTTGCTTTGTGCAGGTATTGATTGTTTGTCTCATATAACAAACACTAACATATGAAATTTGCTTCTATTAATGAAAATTAAAGATTTTCTTATAGACAATTTCTTTTGTTTTATTGAAATCCTTTTATTTGGTTGTGTGGCTCTAATTATTAAAGTTTGCTGATTGCAGTGTGTCAAAGAAGGAGGTGTGTTTGGGTTTAATTTGAATACATAATTAAAAGCCTGGAAGTAGCCTGGTCATACATCAAACCTCATTTTACCAGAGACCACATTATCTTGGTGTACAGTAATTTAAATGCAACATGTCAAAGTAAGGCATGTGAAAGGCTGTGCTCTGACTGCAGCATCAGGGAGGAGAATAATTAAACGAGCCATCCCTGATTCTTAGCGCTCTTTTCTCACAGATAGAGCTGATAGGTGATCAATACCGGTCAGACTCAATCAGTCAATATCGTCCTGCAGCCTGACTCTCTGCTCTGCTCCCCATCAACTGTTTCAGACCGAGCTGAAGCACCTGAGTGTCTGATACGTCCTCCAGCATCTCTGTCATTTGTCTTTAGATTTGTCTTCATCTGATAAGCCCCCGTCCCCCCACCCCATGGTGATTTATGCTTGTCCCCAGTTGTCACCGCAGGACACTACAGGTCCATGCTTCTTGGTGCAAACTCATTAAGTCTCGTCCTCCCTTTTTTTTCTCACAGTATCAGGAGGCTGTCACATGCAACCTTGTTTCTGAGACCTGTTTCATCTATTGTGACTTGGGTAGAGGTTGAGAACAAAACACTCCCCTGTTCAGCCATTGTTTTTTTAAATAGTTAGGTTGTTTAAGTAGACTTTTTGCTGTGTCATTCTTAGAAGTAAATGTTTAATATGTTACACTGAATTGTAAATGTGCAACACAGCTCTCTCTCCCTGCTTTTCTCCTGGTTCCTTCCTCTAATTTTTCATTTTCTCATTTTTCCCTCAACGTCTCCCTCTACAGGCAATTCACAGGGAGCGGTGAAGTGTGAAGGAAACAATTTGTTCTCATATGCGCGGCCCTGGTCATTGACACACTCTGGCTTTCATGCAGACAGGAAGAAATTCCTGCTTTTATAAACAGCGGCTGAGAGCTGCTTGGCTGCAGAGGTGATGAGTAGCTGAAAACAGAGAAAAAATGTTTCAGGGACTTTCAGTAGGACACTGAAGGTATTTAAAAAATATTTAAAGATCTTTGTAATCACTGATATGTCTTGAAATATAATGAATGAAAACATCAGCTTAAATTCACATAATAGTCCTGTTCCCATCCCAAAATGCTGGAACAATCATGTAAGCCATCATTACTACTCAGACTACTACTATGTAGGGAAAGGTACTCTTGCACTGTAATACCATTACACTATTACTCAGCTTGGCTCACATTATATATATGATATATATATGATATATATACATATATATATATATATATATATATATATATATATATATATATATATATATAAACTAACTACTAAAACTATATATATATAAATTATACTTATTTCCCTTGCCATTGTCACATCAATATGCTTTGATCTTTACCATCCCAGTGCAGTTAGTCAATATTTACAAAACTCTTGAACCAAATTCACCTGTACATACAAATTTTACAAAGTAATTTTGATGACATCACAGTAAGATGTGATGGTTTGCAGGACATGAACTGATGATAAAAGTACAATATAAAAAAATGAATAAAAATTCGATTGGATCATTTAATCTAAAGTCTAGTTATTCCATGCTTTACATTTTATTCCAATAATCGTGTGATTTTTTTTTTATTATTGGATTGTGGCTCTTCACATTAAATGAATAAGACCTCCGGGTCGGTAGGTGGCAGTATGCTCCTGTTGAGCCACCAATCAAAACTCCCGAGTAGGAAGTAGAAATCCGGAAGAGACGTGGCACATAAACACATAGAGGAAGCTTATGATGACATCCTCTGTAGCAGCATTCAGTTGGCATTTATGGAGACACATTGAATGACAGAATTAAAGCTCTACTTAAAACGAACGAGTTTCCTTTAGCAGCCGTCAGTGTGAAAGCTGGTTAGGTGAGTGTTCACCTTTGTTACTTCCTTAGCTCCTGTGGCTAGCTTCAATAGCTCTTACAGCTAGCAGCTAACTAATGTGGAAAACGCTAAATGTGTGAAAGAAGCTGTCAGAAGTGGTTTTAGCCGAAATGAATTATTTATTTCAAAACACGCCTTCCAAGCGTTTTTCTTAAACTCTTGCTGTTTATTATATTTGATGAGGTTGAACTTTGGTTAAGTTGAATTAATAACTGCGTGATTTAGAAACAGTTGGCAACATGGATGTAACAAAGATAGGTGATTTGAGTGCTTTGACTGTTTTATAAACATTAACCATCAGTTGATCAATTAAATGTATACTAACTGTTTTACTTGCTGTTTAGGGGACATAATCAGATTAAAATACTGAATTTTATCATTGTTTTCCAATGGGACTTGTTTTTCTTTTTGCATTGTTGTTGTGTTATTAAGTAATTTACTATTTTTTTGACCTCTTTTTGGATACTGGAAAATAGATAAAAATGAAGATAATTGGAGATATTTAAGATCCATCTGAACAATATAGATGCAGTCTTTTGTTTTTCTGAGATGTTTAAAATCTCGAAGTAAAAAAAAAAAAAAAAAAGTTCAAGGAAATATTTAACCCAATTTTTAACCTTATTCTGAAGCTACAATAAATAAATAACACTATGTTTTATTTAAGACTACACTGTAGGTGTAATTCTCTTAAAAAAAAAAAAATTGGAACATACCTTTGTTTTTTATTTTATTAAGTTAAATAGTAAATTGGAATTGATTGATTTTTATGATCCAGTCTTAAACATCTGGAGAAATATTGAAAAAAAAAAAATAAAAAAAATAGTTAACCAGAAAGTACTTCCTACATGTCTAATATAATACATAATACATCCATCCTTTCACTCATCCTCCACAATAACTTCTAATCTGTGATTTTTGTGCGTTCTGAAAGAAAACCTTACTATTGTGATTCTATCTCCGGTTGTTGAGGTTTACTTTAGTAATAAAACTTTAATATAACTTTTAATTGGATCAAGAACTCTTAATATTTATAGTTATGGAAACTGTTTTTATGTATAATAGTATCTCATTAACTCTGTGGAAGTGACACAAAAAAAAAATTAATAACTCAAACTCAACAGACTTGCTTGTCAGGTTTCCAGAGCGGCATTCTTTCAAAGCGATCTTTTAAATTTACCTTTGGGGTTCTCGTAACGGGTCATGATGGTTATGTCTACATCTTCCAACAGGTGATAAACTTTGATCATTATGGATGGATTCCTAGATAAGCTTAGTCAGAGAGGAGCAAGGGTGGTTATTTTTTAAAAATCATGAAGGTTTAGAAAAGTGTTTTTTAAACATTACAGTGTCATACCAGGTGGCTGTTACATTGAAACTTAAAATAAAGACGGTGTAAAGTCACGGTTCTTATTAATGACCAAAGAGTGGGAAATATCACAACAGAAGCTTATCTTGCTAAATGGAGGGTTAGGCTTTTGTAACAGAATGATTTAAAGATGTTAACTTAAGCTGACATTTTAAGTCAGCTTTACTTTTCTAATGATTTTCATTAGAATATCTATTAAACATGGGTTTACTTCACATGTTTGGGTGCAAAACTGCCACCATCCACTTTCTAAATACTTATTGACTAGTACAGCACCCTCCACCATTAGTGGCACCAGTTGTAAAGATTTTTTTTTTTTTTTAATGATTGGAAGAAATACATTTTTTTATTGCTGCATTATATGTTTTTGCTAAATAAATGGTTGCACCTCTCAACAATATCTATAAAGAAATGTAACTTTCTGATGCATATTTAATGACTATGAATTTACACAAACATAACATTAACTTTTTATTCTACTTATCATACGGGGATGTTTGTTGTCTTTAAAATGGAAAGACGAGTGAGCCCTTATAAGCAGGACAGTGTTATGAGCAGAGTTCCTACATGAAGCTAGCTCATATGGAAAAAGGTCAAAACAACATTTTCTTTATTGACTGGTTTCAATAATTATCATGTTACGGTTTCAGATTAAAAGCATTGTCTATAGATAATATTAGTATCAAGAAAACATTGAAATAAATCTTTTCCTTTTTTTAGTAATTGAAAAGTATGGACTTAATTCTATTAGGGCAGGGTTATTTGTCAATTTTTTTGATTAATTGTAATTTCTGTTATTGAAGGATTAATTCACATGTTTCTTTGTTTCCTTTTGGGTTTTTTTTTCTTTACCAATCCACTCCTTGGGCTTCCATAGCTTAGAGTAACATCAATTCATTACTTTTTGTTTGTATATGTCAACTCATAATTCAACTCATAATAAACTAGCCCCCAATACCACTAGCTGCTAATATTTAGTGTGTTATATGTTTATTATTCGCTTGAATTTCATTGGCCTTTAAATTAAGGTGACTTCCCAGAAGGAATAACTGAAATAAAAGCTCATCTTTTAAAGAAAACACATGTAGTTTTTCTTTATTTTTATCCAATTTACATCTCGACTTGTAAACATTAGAACAACTTCTAGCCTGGTGTTTTTCATCACTTGGGCACAAACTTAGTTTTAAGACACAGTGGTTCAAAATAGTAAACTTGAACCTCACACTATGCATGATGTCCTTTTATGATCAGGGATGCTGCACTTCATTGGATTAGGTTTTCTAAATACTTGTTCACAGATGAGCTTGTCTCCATAGATAAATTTCTGCACCTACCTTTTCCTTTGCCTTAAAGTATTGTTTTATTACCAGTAACTGATCTGAATTGCTTATTTTCCTCTCACACAGCACATGTGGCTATGGGTCTCTGCAAGTGTCCGAAGAGGAAGGTGACCAATTTGTTCTGCTTCGAGCATCGTGTGAACGTGTGTGAACATTGCCTTGTTTCAAACCACAACAAGGTAAATGGGGGAGGGGATTGGCTTTGTCTTGTGATATCTATTTGTTTAACACTTGGAGCTTTGCAGTAACATTTTGTGTTTCCACTTGTTGCTCTTCAGTGTATTGTCCAGTCTTATCTTCAGTGGCTTCAGGACAGCGATTACAACCCAAACTGTACTCTCTGCAATAATCCGCTCACCACACAAGACACAGTCAGGCTGATCTGCTATGGTAAGATGATATCTTTATAAATTCAAAGTACTTTAAGTGATCAAGCTTGGCTAGAGGAAGTATTCATCAACCCCTCTCTTTATCAATCAACAGATGTTTTCCACTGGGCGTGTCTTAATAGCCTGGCATCTCGGCTGCCGCTCCATACGGCCCCAGCAGGGTACCAGTGCCCCACCTGTCAGGGTCCAGTATTCCCACCTTCAAATCTGGCCAGCCCAGTTGCAGATGTGCTGAGAGAGCAGCTTTCGTCTGTCAACTGGGCTCGGGCTGGTTTGGGGTTGCCTTTGGTAATAATAAACTCTTCATGTGGCATTGTGTGATTTTATAATCAAAAGACTTAAATATGTATTGATTTTAAACTAATATAAAAAAATTTTTTTTTTTGGCAGATTGAAGAGCCGGTTGGGGTTCTTGAAGGAACAATCGCTAATGATGTTTCTGACTACACAGACTGGTCAACATTTGATGGTGAAGAAAACTATTAATACCTGTTGAACTTCATCAAATAGTGGTCACATTACAGCCACAAAACTGATTGTAACAAACTCTGATTTAAAATTACAGAAAAGCACAAAGTAGTCCATTATTTGAATGTCAAAAGAAAATGATTTATGGTTTTGCCATTTTATTTAAAAATCCAAATTTAAATCAGTATGTTTTGGGACAGAAATCATTAATCGGTCAATACCTAGATTTTGGCAGAGTGGCGGCCTAGTGGTTAGGGCATAGGGCTTGGAATCCTGAGATTGTGAGTTTGAAACCCACTCCCACAGACTGCCACTCTGGGTCTCTGAGCAAAGACCCTTAACCCCTGATTGCTCCCCAGGCGCTGCACAGTAGTAGCCCACTGCTCCCCAAGGGGATGGGTTAAATGCAGAGAGTTAATTTAATCTTGTCAGATCAATAGAGTTAAATGTATTACTTTATTATTATAATGAGAGAGTTGGAGAGCCAACAGAAAAAAGTAGTTAATTTAAAGGAGAGTGTCAAGTTGCCAGGAGTAGCAACCTAGCTAAGATCCCCCACCTGGAAGCTGCCCCAGCTGAACAGAATGCAAGAAAAGATGTAGATACAGTGGAGAAAAAACAACTATAGGTCACCACGTTAGAGGTGGAAGTCATGTCGACCATAGAGAGGTCAATAATAAAAGAGAAAATGAGAACGAATTTCAAATGATCAAAGTGGACAGAGCCAATTAAAATGGTCTCACTGGGCTTAATTCTTTCCACTGGATCAAGGTTTTCACTCTGCCCCACTCTACGCCACCAAGGTTAACTCTTGGTATCAAAAAGAGAAAAATTATGTGCAAATGAAAAAGAAAACTAAAGTCTGCAGCATTTCAGTTACAGCTTAAAGAGCCTAGTTATGAACTATGGCTTTACATAATTTCTACACCAGTAACTTACTCTGGTTGCAGGAAAGGTTGTTTCCCCTTAAATGATTGCTCCCGCTGGACTCATTTAACGATATTTCTGTGTAATACACTTTTTCTGCTCTGTTTGTTAGTAAACAAAGCTTTTATTTATATATATATATATATATCAATCATAACAAGACGACGTTACAATGAGTTAAAAAGAAAGATCCTAGATGTATATTATGTCTATTGTAGAAGCAATGAAGCTGAGCAAGTCAGCAGCATGAGGTGTGGATGTGAAGAAAAATCCCAAGATCTAGTGAAAAATCACAAAATTAAATTTGCACACTCAAATAATTATGTCTGCTGATCGAGTCCATGCAAGAAACTTTTCAGGCTCTAAAAGAACTGTTTTTGTTTTTTATTTATTGTTTTTTTTTTGTCTTTCTTTCTTTTTTTATAGTCATAGTATCTGATGACGTCCCTTTAAGGTTTTAAAGCATTAACAGAGCCTAAACCCTAAATGTAGTTAAAAGAAGGTCTAAAGTATGACCACGGAGTTGAGTAGGTGTATGGAGGTTTTTAGCAAAGTTAATTCACAAATTTCTCCATCCAAACTGGGATGGATTTCATCTTTCTGAATCAAATCAGGATTTTTCCCTAAAAGTTAATCAGTTAGTAGTATCCCCCACACTGTTTTTTTTTATGTACCACCAGTTAAATAACTGCATTTTATGAATACAAACTTGAAAGTCAGTAAAGATTAGCACAGGGTCCATTTTAATATATTACCCCTTTAAAAAAATTACACTGATCCAAAGGTCACTTAAGGTCACCCCTGTCTTTCCTGATTTGCATTTGTAAGACCTTTTGGGGTCTGTGTCTTATTTTCTGTCCACCTTGCTATTAAGCCCTTTTTGTGTTTGTTTAGCTGAAAAGTTCAGGACATTACAAAGTATTTTAGTGGTTTTAATGTGCCCTAATGTGGATGCTGATTTGATTTTCATTTATTTATGTCTTCATTATTTAAATAAAGAAAACTCCATTTGCTCTCACAGCCCAAGAAAAACATGCCGCATATTCCAGTCACTCCTATAACACTAGCCTCAGCCCATCTGCTGTCTCAGCTCCACCACAAGAAAGCGACGGACGTCTTCATAAAAATGGAGATCCCAATATATCGGAGCATTCTGTAGTCAACATTCCTGCTGCTACCCCCAGTGACACTATTACATTACACACAGGTAGAGTCAGAGAAAGCATTTTTCTTCCAGTTTTTGTGCTTCTGGTCCAACTTTGTCTCTTTATGTTTTCTAAAATAATTGAGGTGTTTTTTTCTTTCTTATTACTATTCAGCATCATCACCCAGAAAGGTCTATGACACACGGGACGTCCACAGCTCTGCCACACAGATTGATTTTGATGATGATAAGTACCGGCGGCGGCCAGCCCTCAGTTGGTTTGCACGGATTTTAAAGTAAGCCTTTAAATGCTGGGTTGTTACACATGGTCCTCTTTGTTTACTTTGAGACCTTGCTATACATTAAAACATTGTTTTATTTTGTGTCTACTTTCTTAAAACCTTTCAGAAACCGCACTGGAGGAAAGAAGACAGCTCTGTCCTGGAAGCAGCGAGTCTTCATGCTACTTTTGGTTGGAGTTCTGGGATTCTTCACCCTTATAATCATCATGGCTAAACTGGGACGGGCCTCTGCCGGCTCAGATCCAAATCTAGATCCTCTTCTTAATCCCAACATCCGTGTGGGCAAAAACTGAAGGGGGGGGGGAGCAGTGATGTGGGGTTTTTACCTGTGTGTTTTACAAGACAAGCAATGTTGGATTGGTCTGCAAAGGAGCTGATACATGGACAGCCCACCAGAGGGAGCTCTTTGCCCAACTCTAGAGGATGTTCCTCTTCCTTCCATCACAGCATGTCTGGGTCGTTCCTGATCAGGTTCCTGTGATTCCGATCAGGGAGCATAGAACCTTCGAGGTGACCAAGGTTCGGCTAATTTAAACACTTTATCTAGTTATTGCTGCTTTGGTGAAGAGGGGCAACGCTTTACTCAGCTAACATTTCTCTGTGATCTTGTAAGTTAACAAATTTCTGTTCTTCAGATTTCTTTTGGAAGCTTTGTCGAATGAGGAAACATCTGCTGGCGGAAATGTCAGATCTTATTTCTTTGTGAAAATAAAACAAATTCCTGCTACTATTAAAGAAGCTCTGTGTTGCCATGGCACCCGGAGTCAAACTTTCCCAACACCATCTCGCATTTCTACAATGATGATGATCTGCATTATTACAAACAGAGTGCTTTGCTTTTAGATTTGCCATTCATACTGTATTCTGTTTTACTGATGGTTTCTCGAGTGTCCATTAAATTGGAAAAACTACTAAATCACAACTTTTGCTCTGTTGAATCTTTTCAATTTCTTCACAAGAAAAAACAAAAGTTTACGACCGCAAAGCATCTGACTGCTCTGTTTCATGTTGGTGCATAAATATCTCCTGCACGTTGTTTTTTTCATTATGACATTACAGATTATGTTGTAGACTTCCTGCCTCTAAGCAACATATTGATGCAAAAGTCGATAAGGTTCCACAAAAGAGACGTGGTGCTCTGTCCATCTGTTAATGACATTCAGAAATTATGGAGGGAAAAGCTGCAGCAGATATTTATCTTAACATTGAGATTATATTTATTTTAACAGATTATGTTGTGTGTAAAGCAATATTTACCGTGCATTCAAAGATGAGCTCTTTCATATTTGGTTATTATCACACAGTTCTGAATTCCTCTGTGAATTGTTTGATAAACCTACACAAACTGTAGCATTCAATACTTTATAGAACCACCTTTTGCTTCTTCACAGTTGGAAGTCTTTTGGGATATTTCCCACATTCAGCTCAGCTGTGGCTGTTTTTTTTTTTTTTTGTGCCGGCCCCCTGATGTACAGGAACACTTTTCATATCCATTTTTGGAAAATTTTTGATAAAAGCTTTTTTTTGTAATAATGCTTTGCTTTGAGTTTATTTTTGGCCCTGTGTTTATCCAGCAGCGTTATGAAATCAGACCACAGGTTATCTGTAAAATAAGGGTCTTTCCTTATTAGGGAGCCATTTAATTGATAATCTAACCTTGTGGCACTGATCTCTCATAATGGGACATCAACTGATTGACATCAGATTGCTTTGGGTTTTTTTTGACATTTTTTCCCCACTGTGACAAAACCGATTTCAGTGGTTTTCAGTGGCTAATTTACTCATTCTTTTAGCATTATCATAAAATATAAGTAAATTATTCTTTAGTCATTAATATAATTATTGAACAAATTTATAGCCTTGACAAACCCTGATTATTAAAAACTGAACTTTAAGAATTTTCCCTGTTATCGAGGAACTGATGCAACACTTATTGCATTTGCCTCTGTCACTCTGAGGAGGTTTGGATTGTAAAACTCTCATTTTTATATTTTATACAGTGAACTCACATCATTGTGTTAAATGTTAAAACCATTAAACTGGCTGATTAATTCAAGTACTTTTTTGTTTGTAACTATTTGCATCTGAATGCAGAGTCACATGTTACAACTGACCCTTGGTTACGGAGAGTTGCACCACTGGGAACGGTTACAGCCTGTTCCAAATATAATGTATTTCACTTATCAAATAAAGTATTGTTCATTTATGCAAGTAAAATAATTTTATTTAGTGGTAATAGCATTATTATTTAATATAATATTACGCGCAGTAATGCAGTATATGAGTGAGGCACTGGTTTAAGGGTTTGCACAATTATGCAACCGGATAGTCTTGGATTTCTATGGTTTCTGTTTTTCCATATTCAGATTTGTTTTTATGATGAATTTTGCAGCATATGCCTTTTTAATGTTTAAGATTTTACTTTCTGCATTCAAGTAATCTTTTGTTAAAAAAAATAAACAACGTACACATTCTTCATGACATTAAGTTTAGAAGTTGCAGCAATCAGATTTAAAAAGGTCCTTCATTTTTTCATTTCATTTTTCCCTGCTTTTAAATTCTCTTTCTGTATTCTGTGCAAAGTTAGCTTAAAAATCCTTACGCTCACCTCACATGCTAGATTTGAAAAAACTGAATTTATACATACATAATACATTTCAAATCAAAGGTTACAAAACTTTTTACAATTTTATTTTCATGTCTTTAGAAATTTGTAACGCAGAGGTTTTTCCTAAATTCTTTCTTTTTCTTTTCTATTCAGAAAATTCATACTCGTCTTCTAATCATAACCCAAAAAACATATCTGAGCCACCTAAGCTTCCTCCTCTCGATGTGGAGGAGAAGTGGCTCTTGGATGATCCAGCTCCTAACCCTATCGGTAAAGGAGTGCCCAGCCACTGTTTTCTAATGGCCAGCTTTTCTACATTTTTTTTTAACCTGGCATTTTTATAATTATTTATTTAGTTAAACCCACAAACTTCTAGTGGTCTACATTCATACAGTATGCCACTTCACATCTCTGGCTTTAGTTTGTAATGTGTTTATCCTCTATTTAGACACAAAGAGCACATATAAAATACATCTATGCTCTATCTGTACGACAAATTTTCACTCGGAGACAGCGGGATGTCATCCTGATGAAGAACACTTCAGCGTGCTGCAGGATAGGAAACTCAAACCCCTAAATACCATCTGGAGGTGCCAAAAATAAATTGGTTTTCAGATCTTAGGAAACAGTTGCAGGCTTCCCTCATAAAAAAAGAACTGTCCTCACACCCGACAACATGCATGTGACACTTTCCATCGTGTTGGTGACAGCATCACAGCTTCGCCATATTGATTGTGAGCTTATTTGAGTCAATGATGAATTGATGCACAAAAGGCTGCTGGCTGTTTCATGCATGCACTGCTTTGGAGCAGTCCGACACCCATCGAACTGTTTTGCATAAAGTCACGTTGCAAAACCAACGAATGCATTTCATTCAGCTTTCATGTAACAGAACACATAGTAGCACATGATTAAGAAGAGGAGAGATTCATGGTTTTACATGTAAAATGCTAAACAGGAAAACAGAACAGGACACTTCACCAAAAACAAACCAACCTTAATGTGATCCATGGTGGTGGCAGCATCATGCTGTAGGGATGCTTTTCTCCAGTGGGTACCAGCAAAGTGGTCCTGAGTCTAAATGTGGAGTTGCAGAGGCTGACCTTCCAGCAGAAAGTGTTAGAAGGGGAAAGAAATATCCAAAGCTCAGAAAAAATGTTTCATAATGTAACTAAACTTCTCCACCATTGATTTACCAACATGTCTGATCTGTTCCTTCAGCTGGATTTTTACTAGAAATTTAATGACACAGTAAAAAAAACAAATATAATAATATATATTATATATATTATTGTGCAATAATCCAGTGCAACTGGATTTTTTTTTTGGGTGCAACACTATCTTTATGCTTTTAACTCTTTATGACTTAGACTTAGACTT